ACTGTGACTCCAATCACATTAGTGAGGTAAACTGCTACAGTCGATTAAACTTAATCTCATTTAATAACAGCATAATCCAAAAAAAAAAAATACACTGATTCAAACACTTGATAGCTCGCTTTAGCTCTCAGGATGAATCGATCTAAGGATCTTCGAAGATGCACAAGATAGTTAGGTTTTCTACAAATGAATAAATGAAATAATCGGATTAGATGAATGAAATGAAATACGAAAATAAAAGGAATGATTATCCTTACCAGACTGTACGTTCCTATGTCTTTTCTCTTTTAAGAGAGAAATATGACAGCAAAACTAGACTGTTTTTGTTCTAACGATATGCCCGCACTCTAAGCTCGCTACTGACGTCACTAGATCTCTTGCTCGGTAGTCACAAACACATCATCTGCTATCACAAGGATCATTTTTCACAAACATCACGAAATACTCCCTGTCATCATTTCATTCAATCTGGTCTACCGCTCACGCTAATCTACCTAAGAACATTTTTAACTTTACCATTCGATATATCAACAACTCACTACCTACATGCACGAATCTAGCAAAATGGGGTTTATCAGCTAGTTCTGAGTGCTCCTATTGCGGTTCTTCAGAATCTCTTTGTCATGTTATTGCTGGATATCAATACTATCTACCACGTTTCACTTGGAGGCACGATTCCATCTTAAACTTCCTCGCTGCATCACTGCTATCTAAACTCGACAAATCTTCATTATTTGCTGACATTGAAGGCTATACCAGCCCCTCGCTTATAACTGGAGATGCCCAGACCGTCCTGATCTTCTGATAAAAAACACTAGACTGTCTTTATATTCTGGAACTAACAGTTGGTTTTGAATCAAATTTGAAAAACAATGTTGATCGAAAATACAAAAAGTACAAAAATATTATAAGGAAATTAAGTAGTAATTTTAAATCTGTTAAGTTTGTAAATCTCTCGATTAGTTCCGTTGGAGTTTTCTTTGCGGAAAGCTCAACGTTTTTAGAATGTTCGACCGGCTACGGTACGAGAAAAAACATAAGATGTATATAATAAGAAAAATAATCAACATTGCCATAAGATCCACATATTTCAATTTTTTATAAACGAAACAAAGACTGGGGAAATCTTCTTGTATGTATCCAA